TTTTTTTTTTTTATGTATGCTAGTTAATATAGTTCTTTTTGCCCTTTACTCAATTGGCATGTTATCAATGATTATGAAAACTGTAAAGGCAAACAAACCTAATTTGTGGGATAGTAGGTGTAAAAGATAATTTTTTTTCAGGCTTCACCCTAAGTAAAATAGAAATGAAAAGGACATGTATAATCTATTAATCTGTTCTGTTTGAGCAAATAATTTTCCAGAAAAAAAAATGGCATTTAACATCCGATTGTGCTTTTCTTTTCTCTATACGCCATAGGTTTCCACCATGCCCGATCAAGCACTCCAAGCATTCATCGACCATGGCTCTGTTGCAAGGACTATCGACTCCAATATTCCAGAAGCCAAAGGCATTTACAGCGCGCTCGAAAAATTGGGTGTCGACTGGAGTGAAGTTGGAGCTCAACTTGAGCTGGAAGGAGTTGAGTCCTTCAAGAAGAGTTTCGACAGCTTGCTCGATAGCTTGCAGGAGAAGGCAAATTCTCTTAAGCTCGTGAGCCTTTGAATGTTGTGAAAGTTTTTTTTGTGTTATTGCTATAAGGATGAATTTAATAAAGCGACCGGAATCCGGTCACTGGATTTCTTCCTCTGTACGGCAAGATGTGTGTTTGTATGATTACATTTTTCTGGATTATCTGTTGGCTTATAAAGTCCGTCCTTCTTTTGTTGTAGTATAATTGCTGGCTAATAGCATTTAATAAAATATTTAATAAAACTTCATTTTGATTTCCCTCCAAAAGCCGTTACAAACATTATCATTTATATCTCTCTCTATATTTAATTACTAATAATAAATCTAATAATATCGATTATTGTTTACCATCTTTTTATGTTACAATCTTTTATTATTATTATTATTATTATTATTAATCCACCATATCTAATTAGTGCTATACTATTTCATTGCACTTTTTTAGGGTTAATTAAGGCAAAAAAAGTTACATTTTATATTAACAAAGTAATAATTACACTTTTTATTATATCATATAATAGTTATTATTAAAACTAATAACTATAGTTTAAACTAAATGATATATGAAAGTTACATAAACATAAAAAATTACTGTAAACGTTTTGCTGAAATTATTTATTCTAAAATTAATATTATATTTTTTATCTTATTTAACGATTTTATTTTTAAATAAGTTAATTTATTTTAATCTTATAATAAAATTTCTTAAAATAGCATAATGAAATGTTATAATAAATTTAATATTTTTAAGCTAATAAATTGGCGATCTCTCAAAATTACATTACTTATTATATTTTATGTAATTAATATAGCGGTTCATATGCAATCAAATAGTTATGTACTATAATAATCAAATTTTAAAACATAATATCATTATCTAATTTATATTTTTATTATTATATGCATAAATATAACTTATAATACTCTATGTTTAAAATATCATACCGTTATATAATTTATAATTTTAATACTATATGCATAAATGTAAGTTATAATATTCTATTTACAGTGTGCAAATGAAAAGGGTCGAATACTAGTATATAAAATTGTGGTAAATAATTGAATTGTAAGTGGTGGGTGGTTTGGAAACTAAATAATATGATTTATGAACTGATAATAATAAAATCAATGACCTAACTTTTACTAATTAACAAATACTATCAACATTATTTAAGGAAAAGAAAGTAATATTAAAAACATTTCAAAATTTTTCATTGGGGTATGATTTGATTTTTTAAGGAAAAGTAGGTAAAATTAGAGTGTGTTTGGGAAGAACAGTATATAAGTTATAATTTATATAATTACATTTTAAGTATTCAATAAATTAATTTTTAATTATCTTATTAATTTATCTTATTAATGTTTTCTTATGTAAATAAGCTTTTTTAATTCAAATCCCCCC